TGAAGAGCCTGTCTAAACCATCCATTTCCCAAGTGAATGCGTGAAAAAGACTAGAGGAAGGACACAAAGTCACAAATAATTTGAAGCAGAGAGAATTAGTATCTTCAGTTCAGACAAATAAAGTTGTTAAGTTTCATGGCAATTATATGGGGAGGGCCTCTTTTCTTAGATATGTTTCTTTTGAAGGAGCTGTCAGAACTCCGAAAACTACAGCTACAGTAAAAAACGAAAAGGTGCAAAGGTACAAAGGTGCAGGTTGCTCCTTTGTTTCTCTGACAAGGATTTACTACTAAGTTTTTGACATTCTAGACACAGAGGCCGTAGGAAGAAAGGCACTAAAAACATAGTGCCAAATAGAGAGTCACAATGCTTCAGACACAAGCAGACAGAGGATGCTGCCTTAATGCTAAATTCTGGGCCAAGGCAATAGAAAGACACTGGAGAAAATATCCAAGATGATAAAGAGGAACATCCCCTCATTTCAAGTAAGTACTTGGTGGCACATAGGAACAGCACACCTCTGATTCTACTTGGTACATGATATCACTCTGGGAACTAGAAGCAACACTAACAAAACAAGTTACTCATAGAGTAAGAGAGTCAGCTTGTTCATTTTTAATTGCAAAAGGTATGGGGAACCAAGAAAGAAAAGAAAGAATGTGGCAGTAACGCTACATAAACTTCAGGATGAACAAAGAACTTCTGACAAGATGGCCAAGATTCTACTTCCATTTAGAGTGCGTGCGTGTGTGTGTGTGTATGTGTGTGTGTGTGTGTGCGTGTGCGTGTGTATGTGTGTGTCTTTGTGTGTCTGTGTGTGTCTGTGTATGTCTGTATGTGTATGTGTGATATGTGTGTGTGAATCTGGGCAGGTACATACCACAGTGTACATATGGAGACTAAGGGACAACTTTTGAGAATTGGTTCTCTCCTTCCTTCTACTGAGTTGGGGGATCAAATTCAGGTTGCCAGGCTTGTGCAACAAATATTTTACCCACTGAACCATCTCACTGGCCCTACTTCCATTATTTTAATTTAGGAAGCGTTTTAACACCACATATGTTGGCATATGCCTATAATCCTAGCACTTGGGAGATGGATGCAAGAGGATCAGGGAATTCAAGGCTAGCCTCAGGTACATAGTGACTTTAAAGTCATCCTGGGCTATATGAGTCTTTGTCTCAAAATCAAACCAAACCAAACCAAAATGGTTTTAATTCGAAAAATCTCCCATCTGAAGAGAAAAGCCATTATAGTTCCAACAATTTTCTACTCAGAATATTAACACTTATGATACTGCTTTCTTTACATCTAAGCAGCATGTAGAATGGGATCAGACGCTGCTCAAGGATGGATACAAAATATAAATCAGACCATCAGATTTGGGAGGATAGAAGCTTTGTGTGGGAAGATGACAAATTAACTTTGCACATCCTGTTAGAGTCACAATGGACTGTGAAGTTAAGAAAAGCCTACTGCTAAACTCTACTGTAACTGCTCAATGCTGTGATACAAGACATCCTACCAAAAATGTAGAACATTTTACTTGTCCTAGAAGTCCTATGTGAAGAGCCAGTACATATCTGTAGGTAAAGATGTTCAGTGGAGGAAGAGGGGGACAAAAACTAACATGAGGTAGAAACTAGGCTATAGTACTTAGATTTCACTGTATCCTAATTTGCTGTATTTACAGAATGGGAATTTTTAATCAAGGGAGTAGTAAGAAGCAAGGACTCACCTCTGTCTGTATTAGGAATTCCCAAATCCACAGTAGGGATGGGACTTTCTGCATAGTCACTGTAGTATTCGATGTGGTTTGCCTGTCCTGCCCACGTCTGCTTTACAATAGGTACTGAAAAAAAGGGTACAGGGGACAATCACAGATCCAGCAACGAAATGCTTGAAAATTCAAAATGGCAGCATGAGCCACAAAGAGAAGCTCTACTCATTCTTTTTCAGTGTCCCAAGAGCTGGAGCTTGCTCTCAACCCTGGGAAATACCAGTGTTGTTTGCTGATGGCCGTACATGACCGAATACTTTTACTGAATGGCTGTCTGTATCCCCTAAAGTCAGCACATCTCATTTCTGTGATACTTACCTTCATGTAATAATACACTAATATATTTACATTTATTATATTTACTAGAAATAATCATTTCTACTATAATAATACTACTCTTTATAAGCATTTGAATCATTTCTTTTTCCAATAGATTTATTTCATTTAACTCATCCATAAATGGATTTTTTAAATGTATTTTGTATGTGTGCTCCTGCATGCATGTATGTGAGGTATATGTCTGTGTGTGTGCAGGTATGTACACCTGTGCAGCACACAGAGACCAGAGGAGGACTTCAGGTGTCCTCTGTAATTCTACGTCTTATTCTTTTTGAGGCACTGTTTCTCACTGAGCCTGGAGCTCGTGTTATTCAGCAGTCTAGACTCCCAGCAAGCAAGCCCAAGTCATCCTCTTGTCTCCACTGTCCCTAAATGCTGGGCTACACATGTGCATGAGACCACACACTGCTTGCGACAAAGGTGTTGTGATCCAAACTCTAGTCCTATGCTTGTACAGTACTCTTAACTGCCACCTCTGCAGCCCCCATAAATGGATTATTTTTAATGTGTTTGGGGCAAGTAGGTAATAGAAATACATGTAAGGACTAAAATATTCTGTGTAGTTCTGGCTGAGTCAGACATCCATTTCTCTGACAATGGAAGGGTGAAGACCTTCTCAAATTGCACATGGCCTATATTAGATTCCAATAGGCCTACCCAACTCTATCAAGAGCATGGCCTTGCCATTGAGAATCACTATATATGATGACTGATACTGGCGTTGAACTTTTGGGAAATGTAGAAGACATACAGTTGAGAATCTACAGACTCTAAAATTCTATCAATAACAGAGAAATTGGTTTTATATAATAAATATAAACAACAGAAAATATTCCTGATTTTTCCTAAATTTTAGGTTTAGGTTCTCAGCTGTAGCTCTGACCCCCATACCTGATGGTTGGACTAATACCTAGTTGATAGTAATTCACCTGATCCACTATCCAAGTGATTATTTTCTTCTATCTGTGTTTGCAAAGTTATTGGCTGTATATCTCTAGATTTCATGAAGGGGTTTATGTTGTGTTATTAGCAAAGAACTTATTTATTGTTAATAATGTAAGAATCTTAACTCGAATCAAATCTTCACTTAACTTTTTGAGACTTCATTAGATGATGAGTTTTTCTTTTGCCCAACATCAATCAAAACAAATTATATGCAAAAGCTGTCCTGGCAGTGTAAAATCTGAGTATGTTGCTGTGTAAATCAGCAAACTCAGAGTCCAGCTCAGACAAGCCTTATTTACTAAATAGGAAGCTATATTATTTTATAATCCATTATTTCATCTGCTTTAAGAAAAAAATTATAAATTATTGATATTTGTAAAATTACCACATTAATATTTTCATAAATTAAAATACAATTTTTAGTAATCATAAAAAGACAGATTACAAAGATTTCTCCCCAACAGAGAAGGCTGTAGGAACACTGCTGTGGTTTGACTGGTGTGGTCATTATGCAGGTCTTCTTTAGGCAATCATATTGTTGAAATTTCACTGGATGCAACATCCCTGTAATATCTAGAAGACACTGTCTAGCAGCAGGCATCCTGGGTTCTCTGCCTCTTATAGTCTTTCTGACCCCTCTTCCATGATGTTCCCCGAGTCTTAGATGTAGGATTGTATTTCAGATGTACTAATTGGGGCTGGGCACCCTACAGTCATTTATTCTCTGCATTATGACCAGTGGTGGAACTGTGTAGTAGCCTGTCTGCTGCAAAAAAGAAGCTTCTTTGATGAGGGGTTAAGGTTGCATTTATCTGTGGGTATAAGGATAAGTGTTTATAATACAGTTAAAAGCTATATTGATTTAGGAAAATGGTAGTAGTTTCTCTTTTAGGATCTATGACCTCTCCAGCCATGAGTAGTTGACTGAGTTTATACAGTACCAGGCATGAGTTCCCTCATATTAGGTGGGTCTTAAGTCCAATTAGACAGCTGTTGGTTACTCTCAAGAAATATTGTACCATTAGGGATATCTTGCCAGGCAGTCTACTATTGTGGTTCACAGGCTTAACAGCTTGGATAGGACTATTGATTACTTTGCTCCCTTGACGGCTTGCATAGCACCTTCCAATACTATGAGAGTTACACCTCAGGGAGGTTTCCAGGTCAGTTCTAGCTCGATTCCTCCAATTCCTGTGTCCAAAGTGTGTGGTGTCTTCAGCAATAGAGTCTTACCCTTCAAGTATGGGGAGGCAACCACGGGCAATGGCAGTAGCCTGTATTGTTGGGGGGATCTCTTGGACACCCTTATTCAAAAATTTAAGTTTCCCTTGTCTGTCACTGGAATATTTGTTTATGGCTCCTGGGTGGAGCAAGAATTTGCTATCATCAATTGGGAAATGGGCTATTTTCTTCAGGTATAAGTCAGTGACCATAAAAGGGTAACCAAGATCATGCATCTCTTCCCAGGAGAGTGTTAGAGACATGGGGGTGTGCTCGTTTCTCACTTCTGAAGACTGAGGTGGCCCTAAGCCTGAAAAACATCCCTCCTGTCTGATGGAAAACAACATCTGGAACATCTTCAGCTATTCACCAGCCAGGGAAAAAGCAGGCAACAAAAGACTCCCATCAGTTCATTAATAATTAATCACCTCTTCTTATTAGTGTGGTCTTCCATCTGGCTGCATTTTAATGCAAGCCTCACCTTTTAAATAGGCAGATTTTGTCTCAGTATTTGCAGCATCTTTCATCAAAGAGACAGTAGCTACAACGCTTTTTAATAAATTTACTCAGATTTGCTTCTCCTGGACAGGATCACCGCAGTAGAGACAACAGATGGGTTTTGTCTGTTTTTTAAATCTGAAAGCAATAGTGTTTATTTCTAAGAGCTGGAGAAGCTGTGTAAAAGAACTAATGGCTGAGCAAATCACACTTAACCTTTTTAATTAGAGGGAGCCTACAGGAGAAGAGCAACTCACGCCCTACCATTTGATGAACAAAAATGGGCTGCCAGAAGGACCAGAGACAGCACTTGATCCACATAGCATAGCAATGAAGAAAACACTTAAGGTTTCCTGACAGTTCACATGGCACAATGAAAATTCCTTAACCCAAAAGGAAGTAATCAAGCTGTGCATTAAAAGTCAGAGGCTTTTTCCTGCTCACATGCTTCAGTGGTACTGATAAGTATTATTTCTAGAGCAAAAACTATTGACTGTTCTAAGAATGACTTAGTCCATTTCTGTCAGAATTCAGGCAAATTCAGTTATATAGCTGTTTTAGGGGAAAAAAGCAAAATCATTAAAATATTCGAAGTTGGTCTTTTTCCTGGTTCATCATGACAGTACAATAAACGAATTCGTCATATAGTAGCCATTTCCATTTCTGTACTTCATTCTCTTCCAGGAAGGTGATAAACACAAATAAAACAGGTGTGCCCACAACTGACAGCATGGCCCATTCTCGGGCTTTCAAAAATATAGGTTATCTGTTTTCTTTCCCCCATCATTGCCACTTGAACATTGTTCCTTCAAGTATTTCTATACCAGAGAACAGGAAAAAAAACTACCCTTCCTCCGTGTATTCTGCTTGACTATAAAAGTACTATGCTTTGACAGGGGTGACAGTCTGAAGCCCCAGCCCAGTGTGCTATAGGATACCTGTGGATTTCAATTCTCTATCGTCATTGCTACCCAAAATGAAAAGCCTACCTACACAGCTTCTAGGCAAGCCCAAACTGACCTTGAGCATAGCAGAGCATCAACATGAATATCAAAGGCAATTTATCAAGTGGGGTCTATAATACATCCAAGGAGGTGACAGTGTAGCTCTGCTGGGGCAGAAATAACATGGGGATTCTGGCGCTAGAAAGCCTCAGTCCTGCCTCCTCTTTCCAATAGTGTTTTGAGTAGCACTGAAGGCCCATTAAGAGAAAGCTGTTACCTCTTAGACAAACAAATGGAATCTACCTCTAACCGGAGACATGCCATGTCTCCTCCCTTAAGAGTTAATTCAGTTGGGGCTAAAGAGATGACTCAGCAGTTAAGAGCACTAACTGCTCTTGCAGAGGACCCAGGTTCAAATCCCAGAACCCACATGGTGGCTAACAACTGTCAGTTCCAGGAGATCCAATGCCTTCTTCTGACCTCCATGGGTATCACATGACACAGGTGTACTTCCATACATGCAAGCAATACACTCATATACATAAAATAAAAATAAAAAAGAAAATTTTAAAAAGAAGAGTTAATCCAGTTGTACTAGTCAATCACCTGGCAAAACTGTCCTTCAGGAAGGTTCATCTTAAGCCATACTAAAGAAAAAGGTAGAATAATGATCTCTTTGATGAGATATTGTACTTTTGATATTTTATTATTTTCATTTTATATGTATGAGTATTTTACCTACATGTATGTAAGTGCATCACACGGGAGCAATGCCTATGAAGACCAGAAGAGGGTGTCAAATCTTCTGGAACTGGAGTCACGAACAGCTGTTAGTTGCCATGTGGGTGCTGGGAACAGAATGCAGGTCCTCTGCAAGAAGAGCCAGTGCTCTTAACTGATGAGCCATCTCTCAAGCCCCTAGATACTGTACTTTCCCTCCAAAATTCCCAGCCCTAGTACAGCCTCTACAAGTCACCATGAGGTTCTAGTAGGTCTGCTCACCTTCTGAGTTCTGACTCAGAAAGGTTTATGCTCCTTTTTCTTCTTTTCTATCCCTCTTTTAGATACTGACCAGAGCCTAAGAATGTTTTCTCTGGCACACTGGGCTTCCTTACTCTTTTCTTAAAGCTCCTTTTCTCATGGTGTGGCTACTTGTCAGCTGTGTGGCTGACCTCCAGCCAGGCTTAACTCAGAGTGGCTCTTGCTTTTTGCTCTTCTCTATCTCCCCCTGGGCATCTGCTATGATTTACAGTTCACCTACTTTGGAGTTTTCCTTTTAAACTCTAATAAAATCATTCTCAAATTCTTTTATTAATAAGACTAAGAACCCCAAGAGGGGACCCCGATTTCCCTGTAAAATGTGGCAACCACAGCAGGACCAAAATTTCCAGTAATAATGTGGGACAGGATATGGGACAGCTATGTATCATTCTACCCAGCTTTCTCTACAATATCGAGTATATAACAGTAATTATCACATCACAAGCAATTGTCAACATAAAATAAGATGGTGGACTAGCTGTAACACACACACTAGGACATGTCAAAACTATCAGCACAGCCACTGTCTTTGTCACTGACAGGATGACTGGATCAGTCTTCGTGCCAACTGGTGGTTAGACTACTTCTAAAGGAGAGACAGAGCCCAGTGGCCAAGCAAGCTTTGCTTTCATCCAGCAAAAGGGGGACCAAAGTCCCTAAAACCAGCTGCCCTTAGGCTATCTTTGCAAACCAATACATCAAAGTTTAGCTGGCTTGCGCAGAAACCCAAGTATGAAAGCTTTGTAACACCTGCCAGGTCTCATGCATCAATGACCACGGATCCAAATCCACAGCAGCAAATCAGCTGTGGGAGGTTCATTTTTAATATTCCTAAGAACTTTAAGATTCTGTAATTTTTAAAGACCTTTAACTTGAAATTCAAGTGTAAAAGCATTAGATATCTGAAAAATAAAATATCAACCTTAAAGAAATCAGAAAACCAAGTTATTCAAAATGAATAAATTGAAATGAACAAATTTTCACTTCTGTAAAATATGGAAAACCACAGAGTGAATCCCTACGTTTTCTGTTTCTTTATCATCTAAAAATGTGTTTTAAAGCAAAACTCACAACATCACTCCTCATTCCCCACACTTCTTAACATCAATATTACAAAAATAATCACTATTCTGAGGGCACCTCCAAGATCAGCTAAATCAATTTGAAGATTTTTTTTCTGTAAAACGAAATTAAAAAACCATTTAATTCATTTCTCTGTCACTCTTCTTCAAAGATATTTTTCAAAATCACCCCACAGGGGCTGGATAGATGGCTCATCGGTTAACAGCACTGGCTGCTCTTCCCAAGGACCTGGGTTTGAATCCCAGCACCCACATGGAAGTGATCAACTGTCCATAACTCTAGTTCCAGGGAATCCGACACCCTTTTCTGACCTCTGTGGGCACTGCACAACATGGGTGCACTTACCTACATGTAGGCAATACATTCATACACATAAAATAAAAATAATAAATAAAATATTTTTTAAAAAACAAAATCACCCCACAAAGCTCTTCTAGATATTAAATTTATGATTAACAAAAAATCTTATTTGAACACCTATACTGATTCCTAATAGCATTTTAAGATTCCTTGTATAATAAATGATGTATTTATTTCATCATATTTAAAAGTTTTTGGAATTTGGTATGACAATTTCAGGCAAATATGAAGACGTACAATTAATATACTTTTACTGCATTTTAATTGATGCTGATATCATAGGCAATACCACAACTCCAAACTGTAATTGTCTTTTGTTTAAAAAATGTCTTCTCCTTTAAAATATAACCTAGGTGGATCATGTTGTTGCATAAAATATATAAATGAATTCCCTATCACTCTACTCCCATGATAATGACAGCCGCTTTAGGAATATTTCCTATACATAAATACCACACCCTGCGAAATCAGTCTTTACAAGGAAAGAATATAAGCTAAAATTAGATAATGCAAATGAGTATCAGAGAAATGTTGCTTGATGCAGAGCATAAAAACTAAAATTGCATCGATCTATATTTAGGATGCGCTTTTTCTTTTAACATTATCACCAGAACTAACAAAAATCCTGTAATGACACCAAAAAAATCAATCAAAACAACATTTCATGGGAGGGGAGACAGAATGCAGTGATATAAAGGGGGGAAAGCGAGATAACAGAATAGGAAAGGGGGGGAATGGGAGGGAGGGGAAGAAGAGGGAGGATGGGAGGGATAACATTAAAGGCCTTTAGAAAAAGTCATATGGAAACCTACCACTATAGAAGCTTTATAAAGTCATGCATGTGTGTGTATGTGTGTCTGTGTGTATACATACACATATATACTATCTTGTAACAGGAGAACATTGCCCCTACTAGACAGCATTGACTAACAAAATAAAAGCCCAATGCCAGGAATGGTCTCCCTCTTTTGAAGCAGTTCATCAGGGGTCCCACAGACCCTCAAACAATACTGGCCATTGCCCCTGCTCTTGATTACACACCAGAACTTCACAGTAAGACCCTAATACTGAAGGCACTACATAAATAAGCCATAGAAAAAAAACAAGGAAAAAAAAAAAAAAAAACAAGCTTCATCTTGATTCAAAAATCAAGGAAAACTTCAAAGCTTCATCTCTACTGGCTAGTTTTCATAGTTGTAGAAGGTGCCATGCTTGCTACCAGAAGAGAAGATAAGTCATTAAGCTTACCCAGCTATGAATCTTGTGTACATCAATAACAACTGGCCTGGCAAAATATGATCTCTGGTGCAATTGGGGCATAAATATTATGGGAGTAACCAATAAATTTATAATTGTATTTAAGGTCACTTTATAAGATGAAGCCCATACCTGACATTGGTATCAGGCCTAGTAACCTGTGGCTAAATAGGCCACAAGCCATAAGGGAGAGCCTAATACCATTATTCTGCTAAACAGATACAGTATTAAACTGATTCCTAATGACTTATTGTTATACCCAGAGATTAATGTATCTCTCAAGTCTCACCAAAGGAGCTTCCTTATGCAGCAGATGGTGATTAAAGCAGAAACCCAAACTGGCCGATATGCAGAGAATAAGAGACTGCAGAGTGATTATCCTTGAATTGGACACCTATCTCAAACCTCTGTCTCCAAAGACTCAGGGATCATTGCAGAAGTGGTGGCAGAAAGATTTTTAAGACCCATAGGTAGTGAATTACCACAAGGAAATAGTTTTCCAGACAACTGATCAGTTATTCATATGAACTCACATCAATGGTGACAGCATGCACAAGTCCCATGTAAGCTTAAATCAGAAAAAAATTCCAGCAAGGACATGAAGAAGTAGGTAAGATGCTTCAACCCCACATAAGGAAATTGTGGCAACAGATAGCTGATAGAAGGGGGAGAGTTAAAGTCTCTTTTTTTCTTTTTTTTTTTTTTGGTCTTTTTGAGACAGGGTCTCCCTGTAGCTCCAGCTGTAGATCCACACCAAAGGACATTTGGGGACAGAAATTTACTCTATAGGCCTTAAAAGGTACAAACACACACACACACACACACACACACACACACACGCCATGAAATTGAGTGGGGGTAGAAAGGGGGTGCAGATAGGGGAGGGGATCGAAATACAGTTAAAATATATTGCATTTAATTCATATATTTCAATTAGAAAAAGAGGGGAAAAATTAAAACTTCATGCCAGGATTTCCTTAAGACAGATCACTGTTTCTAAGGTGGCTTTCTTTTTTCTTTTCTCCATTATAGCTACTCAAAGAGCAAATATGTGTATCTTCATTAAAAAATACCAGTGTAGGGGCTGGAGAGATGTCTCAGCAGTTAAGAACATTGGCTGCCAAAGGACCCAGGTTTGGTTCCCAGAACACACATGGCAGCTAACATCAATGTGTCACTCTAGTTCAAGGGGATCCAACGTCCTCTTCTGCTCTGGGGACATTACATTCACATGGGGCACTTACATACTTACATACATACAGGGAAAGCACCCATACACATAAAAAATAAATAAGTAAAAAAAAATGTTTTTAAAGCACCAATGTGGACGTCTGAAGTAGACATAAAAAGAATTTTCTTTGTTGGTGTTCTGTTACCCTGCAAGACCCTGATACTCTCCATACAGCTCAGAAACAGCCTGCACACAATGGGATGTTGTTTTACTGAATGAACTGCTATCCACATATTGTCTCCAAGATTACCACAGCTGGGCTTTTCCATTTCCAATTTAAAGCACTGATCTAAACAATATTTAGAAGCTCTATGGCCACTCATGTTTCAATACAAAATTGCCTTTCCTAATTGAGCTCAGTGATTCAAGTGGCCCAGCGAGGAAGCTGATTAAATAACCACTTTCATTTCAGCAGTCCACTTATCTTTATTCATTATCTTGAATTTGCACCTGTTTTACATGCTTTTTCAAAGGCAGTTTGAATCTTAAAAGTTCAGTATAAATAAGTAACCCAAAACATACTTCTATCACCATGAAATTTCTTGCATGTTTTTACTGCAACAAAAATATCCTCCTTCTTCACTGGTTTTCCCTAAAAACAAACAAAAAAAGAAGTAAAAGAGAAAATACTCACATTTATGGGTCAGCATTTTATTTACTCTATGCCTACATTAGAGCTTAAATCTAGAGTTCAAATTAAACAATGTCATGATATCCTGTTGCCAGGGAAGAAAGGGGAACTGTAGGGCAGATGACAATGTAGGCTCTGCAGTCAGCCAACATGGAACCTGTATCCCAGGCTGGCCTTGGACCTGCATCTGAGTCCAGTCATGAACCTACATCCCAACTCAGTCCTGGACCTCATCTCATCTAGGCTTAGATTTGCATTCCAGTCCAGCCCTGGACCTCCATCAACTCAGCTGAACCCTAAACTTGTATCCCGACTCAGTCCTGGACCTCTAACAATTCAGCTCTGCCCTAGACTTGCATCCCAGCTCAGCCTTGGACCTACACCCTAGTCTAGCAGTTACAGACCAGGAGGCATGTTAACAAGTCCATAAGCTCTCTGAACTTCCATCTGGTCATTTAGAAAATGGGAATAATAACCTCCACAAGGTTTCCATTATTATTAACTTTATTAAGCACAAAGTAGCTGACCAATAAATGTTAGTTTCCTTTCCTTTTCCCAACTACAGAAGATTTTGACAAAAGGGATATTTTAGCAAAAATAATAGATATTTGCTTCTCTGGGTCTGATCTTACTTTGGTGTTGAAAGTTATTTGTGACCTTTTATTGGCCATTAAAGTCTAGGACATGGATGTACTGCCAAAGATAGGATTACTTCAAACTTTTAGGAGGGTGAAGATCACACAAGTGAAAAGGGGGCACAGAGGAATTTGTTGACAATGCATACCAGAGGCCTTCAACCACTTCCTGGGCATGTGTTCTGACCCCTTCTTACCTGTTATAGGGCTACAATAACATTGAGTCATGGTGATGCCATCACTTGAGACTTGCGGCTGGTTGATAGTGGCACACCTAACCCCGGTTCTGTCATGCTGTCATGTCACTCAAGGTACTGGGAGGAGCATTACAAAGTAAGCAGGTTGCATGTTTAGAAAGACTAGTTGCTCTTCAGAAACTGTAAACATTACACACTCCCTCCATTTTCACTGTGTGTATGTGTGTGTGTGTGTGTGTGTATGTATCTTTTAAGATGGAACACATGTCTTTTCTGTACTAATCTAAGAACAACATACACTGTTCTTCCTAGGGGAAAAAAAATATTAACATCCTAGTAAGTTAGTAAGTTTCAGGGTCTTCAGGCACTTGATGGCACAGACCACAGGTCCTCCAGAGCAACTAAGTTTCCTTTGAAAGTTCTGGGTAGGCTCAGGTGAAATCGAAAGCAGGGTCACCGGCTGACAGAGTAGTGGAGACCTGCTTGGGGAGAGGCCTTGGGAATTCTAGAAAATTCAATCACCTTTCTAGGAAATAGATAAAAAATTCCAGTCAACATAGGTATTAGCAAAGGATACGACCCTGGGCTCAAAAGCAGAAAAGGGTCTGGAGTGAGACAGTGCTGGACACAACCCTCACTGCTATCACTACTGGTCATGTGGCCTTCAGCAAGCACCCAGCAGGTGGCTGCTCCTTTTGCAGTTGAGCTTGGCAGAGGTGTTTCTGCTTCCCTTCCTTTGGAATTCTAAATTCTAAAGAAAATCTATACCTTAATGATTAAGATTAACTGTTAAGTAATCTTTCTTCAGATTTACAGAACATCTGGTGACCTTCAGATGTAACATCAGAATGTATAATGCATCTTCTTATTCTTTAATTCTGTGTATCGACGAACACAAAACATATAAATTACTGTGGTATGTCTGTAACCAGTCCCAGGAGATCAGTGTCAACTGTGATGTGGCAACTGGACAGAAGGAGGGATGGAGAGAGGGAGGAAAAGGAAGGGGAGGAAAAGGAAGGAGAGAAGGAAGAGATGGGGAGAAAGAAGGGGAGGGAAGGGTGGGCCCTAGGTGACAAAGACCCCACTGCCCTACTGCACCTCCTTTCCTTACCTACAAAAACCCTTTCATGTGCCTGAGTTCTCGAAGATAGTTTCTTTGGGAAAAGGTAGTTTCCATCTTCCATATGACAGTTCTTGAATAACCCGATTTGTCTCTGATCAAGTCTTATCTCCCAGATTTGACTTTCAAGCAGTGAACAGACAGACTGGGGTCCAGTAACACTAACTTTTCCCTGCATCTCTCACCTCACTATGAAAGATGAGGTAGCAACAGTACTTACCTATAAGGCTGTTATTATTAAACATATGGCATATATTTGAGGCCTGGCTTGGAGCCAAGGTTGATTCTTTTGAAGTATGTAAAAATGCCAGGACAACATAATACACAACATGTAAATTTTTCTTTGGTCTGCAAGGAAGTTTTCTATTACTTACACACAGTGGGAGGAAAGAATGGAATGTGGTAGCACAGCGGGAGTCCATGCCTTCTATACAAAGCTCAGGCACAGAAGTGAGAGGAGATCCTCCACCTTTGTCCCAGATGTAGAGGGCAATCTGTCCAGACAGGAGACCAGTGGTGAGGAGGGATGTAAGTAAAAACCACAAACAGAAGAGCACAAAATGCCTCAAGGAGCAGCAGAACACTCTTTCTGAGTATTTGGTTGAAACATATCAATTTGCTAATATTCAGCAGGACTGTTTTTTCAGCTAAAAAAAAAAAATTAAGTAAAACCAGATCAAACTGATCTTTTATAACCAATAAACAATTAACCATAAATCAATATTCTGACATCCTAAAAATTCCAAAGATGACAGTAAATGGTTTTAGGAAAAAGATACTCTAAAACACCACAGAAACAGGATCATAGCTCTGGTTGCCTGTGGTCCAGTAATTACATATCCTAAACAGCTGATTTGCTGATAATAGCTAAAAACATTGGTTCAAACATCTTTATAATCGTTTAAATGTATGCTAAATTGACACACAAGTCCCGTGAGGACAAAAGTGTGTGCATAGCAGCTGGGGGAAAGGCTTTGGTAGACCTCAGCTGACACTCAGAAACGCTGCATTTCTGATGGAAAAGCAGGACACCTAGAATCCCTCCAAGGTCCCATGTGGCTGACAACAAATGCTCACACAAAGCTGGGCCCTGGCGCTAGATGGAGGCAAAAATAATCTCCGAATGTCTTCAGAGATTCTGCAGTGAGAAATGAGGCCTCTATGATGTGAGCTTCCTGGAAGGTCTCAAGACATGTTAAACGTAGAGATTTAAAGTGGTTTCAAGGGGCTGGAGAGATGACTCAGTGGTTAAGAGCACTGGCTGCTCTTGCAGGGGACCCAGGTTTGAATCCTTGCACCCACATGGTGGCTAACAACTATTCATAACTCCAATTCCAGGGAAATTCAATGCCCTCTTCTGACTTACTCGGGCACTGCATAACACTGGTGAACTTACATACATGCAAGCAATACACTCATACACAAAAAACAAAAATAATAAAATATTTTAAAGTGGTCTCAAGTTAGCACAACATGCTAGTGGTGAGAAGAAGATAACACAGATCCTAACACTGAACCTACAACATCAACGCTGGCTTGGGAAGACTGCCAAGACAAAATTCTAGAAAAGCAAATGTACCAGGGAAAGCTACAAAAAAAGCACCCAGAAATGAGACAAGGCATTAGTGCCAGAAGGTACAATTTCATCAGACCCACAAGACTTCAGATATTCTACCAAAAATATACAATGATAAAAATGAAAAATTTAACAGTTAAGATACTGAAAAGAGCTGAATAAAGGTTTTTCTCAATGGCTCTCCACCTTATTTTTTTGAGACAGATTCTCTCAATAAAACTGGAGCTCATTGATTGATTAGACTGGCTGGTCACTGTGACCCAGGAATCTGCCTGTCTCTACCTCCCCAGCACTGGGATTACAGGTTGCTGCTGCACCTGGTTCTTTATGTGGGCATTAGGGATCTGAATGTGGGTCCTCAAGCTTGTACAACAAGTACTTTACTAACTGAGCTATCTTCTCAGCCTGAAAAATGGTTTTCTGTTTGTTTGAGGTGTTGTCATTTGTTTTGTTTGTTCGTTTTAGTCTTGAGTCAGGGTCTCCCTGTAGCTCCAGCTGGTCTGGAACTCACCATGTAGACCAGGCTGGCCTTGAACTCACAGAGATCCGCCTGCCTCTTCCTTCCAAGTGCTGGGACTAAAGGAGTGCACTACCATACCTAACTGAAAAATGCATTTTTAAAAAGAACACTGCAGCCAAAAAAGTTTAAAAGTCTTTGCACTAGAGAAACCCTTGCAGATAATCATGACACATATAAAAAATATTTGTAGAAACAATAATTGTAATAACTACAACAACAACAAAAAAACCAAGCAGACACTAACAAAAGAAAGAATAAGTGAACAGTAGCATATTCATACAAGAGCCACTATAGTAAGTGAAAATTCATTAGAGGTACATGCATCAACATAGATCTGCCTCAAACAACAGAAATGCTCATGACAAACCTGCTAACGAAGTCCAGAAGGACACAAAACTACTTAATATACTACTCATAAATACACTCACATGTTGTAAAGTATGAAAAAGGGAAGGATAATTCAAGAGTTTTTCCTCCAGGATTTTTCTTTTTTGACTGTGACCCACTTTTAAAAAATTATATTTTTCATTATGATAAACTACCCTTATATGTATTATTATTATTGTGCTTTTGCAATTGATGTCTAACAGTATTTTTGCAACCCATATCACAATCATTAGAAGTATTTTTAGGCCTACCTTGTGGATTTGTTCATAGTTTTCATAAATGAAGAAAAGGGCATATATTCTCTAATTTGGGGGCATACTATTCTTTTCATATCTATAGCCAAAGAGCACAGGGGAGAAGCCTACAGGTAGATTCAATGCAATGGTAATGTTCTCTCTCTAACTCAAGTGTGCTACACAGGTATTTTGTTTATTTTATATGTTAGAAATATGTGCTCTCCCTGTTTAGCAAGTTCTCAAGCCTAGCAATCTATTTCAGAGCTGACTTGTCATTAAACATCTAGGGAGACTCTTTTTCAACAACTTACTTTTTGTCAAAGAATCATTTTTAAGGTTTATTTCCTCCTCAAATAAATTCTTTCATCATTTAAAAACATCAGGAAGGAAGGAAGGAAGGAAGGAACATGGGAAGGAAGGAGAGAATGAGGGAGGAAGAAAGTGCCCTAGTTCTGTCTTTTACGAATAGAGGCTCAAAACATTTCAAGTTCTGTGTTCTAATAGATTTTCAAATTAGTAAAAATGACATAAAATGTCAATATCCATTTTCAACCCAAAGAGAAATAATATTTTCTTTTAACTAAAGAATAGATTTATCAAAATCCTTCAGATTAAGTTCTAAACAAAAATCATGTTTCACATACCCGCAAATGGAAAAATAACAGTATCATACAAACCCCTCCCAAGTTGGGCTCACAAACTAACACAGGGCTGTTTAAGATAGGCATATAAGCTTTAAACGGCAATGAATAAACAATAATTTTTGAATATTAATTTCCTGAAATTGCCAGACTTGCTTTCCATCACTAGGACAGAATGTGCAGCCCCTATACAACCAGTCTGCCAGTCTGAGACCAGAAAATGCAGCCAACTGGATAAAGACTGCCAAGGTCTTTATCCCATTCAAGGAAACACGCCCAAGCACTCCAGGGCATTGTAAATCATTTTCATGAAACATCATATATTGAACAGAAATGATTTGCTTTCTGAGAAGTTAATTGAAAAAATAACAGAAATTTCTTTCTATGGCTTATATATTAATAGGAAACCTACACTGAACCAAAGTCAGTAATATTATGATTTACCTGACAAAGTCATTCAAAAACTGAAGCCACGAAAACAGTGTATTGATGTTTTACTGAGTGAGAAGTATATTTCTCTCCAATAGCTCAAGGCATGTATTACATGCACAGATCAAGGAACAGTATTCTGTACTGACCTCTTACTTATTCCTTCAAAATATGTCCTCAATTCTGCTAGACACATTTCCTTAACTAAAGGAACATGCCGATGTTTTCACAGGGTCCTTCAACCATCCTAGAATAAGTAGATTTCTATATTTTCTAGGTATTGTGCCTGGTATATGTATCCACCAATTCCTGCCCTCAGAGAGCTAACAGTCTAGTTTTAGAATTATCATAGTAATTTGCAAAGCCATTATTCATACAAAGCACGCAAAACAACTACTTGGTGAATAAACAGGTGGATGGATATACAAATAGATAAATACCAATCACCCTTTTAAAAA